TAGGGGGGAGGAGGAAATTAGAGGAGGGGAGAGGGGGAGGGTTTTTGGGGGAGGAGATTAGTGGAGAATGTGGAGGAGGGGAGAGGGAGGTGGCGTCGCAACCATTTCCCCTCGTACCAGCGTACCTTCCCGCCCAACCCTTGCCTGAACCCCCTCTTTTGGATCCCGCACTGCGCCACCACCACTACCCACCTCTCTACACCCCCAACCTCCTACCTGTGACGGCTGGGTAGGGGGGGAGGAGGAGGAGGAGCGGGATTTGTTGGTCATGGTGATGAGGGTTCCGAAGTCCGAGCCAAGTGCTATGACTGGTCGGGAAAACATGACCTGCATTGCCCCATGGGATTATATTCCAAAGATTGAACGTCACGCTCGACAGCAAGACAAATGTAGGAGTAAAACGCTCAGGAACCAATCATCCAATCTGGAAAACAGGATTTAAAAATTTGGATTCATCTATCATGAAAGGAGCCTGTTGCCAACAGGACCCTAGTGACAAATCATATTTGAAAGCGCTCTCTAGGCGTGGTTTCGGATTTTGCTGTGCCTTGGGTGCACAACATGAAAAACGCGACCGAGTGCGCGCGGCGTCGAGCCTAACCATCGTATTACCACGCTCGCGATTATTATTTATCGGGAATCATCTCAGACGTTTTATCAAACATTTAAAAATATTCCTCCTGATATTTACAGAACACGAAACGTTTGGGGGACGGGTCGGGACCGACGTTGGTGCGAGGCTGTGGACTGCTGACCGGTACTCTTTTTTCCGCGACGACGCTGTTCACGCGCCGCGCACCGTTATTGCTTGCCGGCCATCAACGGTGACGTCATCTTTGGAAGGCGCCTTGACGATGTCGGCTGGCGTCGTCAGCACAATAGTCAGCGGGAGTTCATCTTGCAGGAATGCGCGGCGGCCGGACTGAGCTGCAGCGGTGCTGCTCCAGCCGGAGCGTAAGCAAGCGACCGCGAGCAGCAACGGAAGCCAGGAACTTGCAAACATGTCGGAAATGTAAATATGATCTTTGAGACGTATCTCGGCCTTATTCCTCCACGGGCGCTAAGGTCTCCAGGCCCGAGAAGCTCGAGACGCGGTTTCGTGCGCTCCGCGCAGCTTCTCGCAATCAGCCCAAACGAGAGTGCATTAAGCGGAACAGCGACTTGAGGTTGCGCATGTATGACTTATCATCAAAAAAGTTACTACGGTATGAGGAGCTGGGAAAACGCCAAGTGAGTTGCTGCGTGATTGGCAGCTTTCGCTGCAGCATGTCGTGCAGCTTCTGTGTTACCTGTTCTTACTGGAGTAGGAATGGTAGTCATCTAGGCAAGAAGGCAACGCGTCGTAACGGGATCGACAAACCAATTTACGGTTGCACCTGTACTTACAGAGTTGCTCTATCTGCAGTCGTGCCTCGTCCCTCGTCCCTTGAATCTCCAAGGATTAAGCCACGGAATTTGGCGAAGATTTTGTAGTGGCCGTCAGTATGTATGCATCACCAAAACAACTCTCGCTGGCCTCATGAGCCAACTGAATATGTGCCGTACATGCGCGTCCAAGGTCCGTGGGACTCTTGTGCTCCTCCCAGCTTCCACATTTTCAGTTAGTCCTGGCGTCAACTTTTTACCGACTGTGCCTATTACAAATTGTCCTAGCTTGAGCAGCAGAAGCTAGGAACGATATTGATTTCTATTAGTGTTGTGGCCTAACTACTTCAGCCTGGAAGGAGTATGGCATCCGTAGCCGACAAACATGAACGCATTCGTGCTAGGGTGAGGGAGTCATTCATCCTGTTTGAACATAAAGAGGGCAGCCGACTGGTTGACTTCAAGGATGTTCCGACAGCCATTCGTTGTTGCGGTGTCAACCCGACGTCTGTGCAGCTGAATCTTATATTGGATCAATTGGCAGCGCTAAATGCCGAGTCTGAGGCGACTGGGCTGGTCAACATGGAGAACTTTGAGATAGTCGTGTCCAACTTTTTAATTCAGCAGGAAGCTAGTCTTCTTAGAGATGACTATCATACACTTCTTCGTGCTTTTCGGGCATTCGATCCGGAGGGGCGCGGCTTCATCGAGGCTGAGACACTCCGGGCTTTGCTCAACGGGCGGGGCGAGGCGATGACGGAGGACGAACTGAACAGAATGATGCTTGTTGCAGCCGATGAGCAGGGACGCGTCTGGTACGAGGACTACGCGCAGGTGCGAAGGACCTCCACACCCGCGCACAATGTACACATGAGGTTCAGAAGCCGCGGGCCGCGGGCACATCCTTCCATTATAATGCACAGGCCCATCATGCCCCTTGACTTCAGTTACATCCAGCGATTTACATGCAGCCTAGCCTGCTTGTTCTCGCCGGCTGTCTGCGACAATTCCCCCTGAGTCCCTCCTCGTCTCCCGTCTTCCCGCAGAGGCTTGCAAATGACGGCCGAACCATCTAGAAACCGCCGACATCCACCACCACCATCACGACGACCATATGACACGCGTTCTTAGAACCTCCAAGACAGCAGGAGCGGGGCCATGTCTGCCAGCAGCACCAAGAGTAACAGTGGCAGAGCAGCAGTGCCTCGTAGTGACAGCGATAGCAGCAGCAGCAGCAGTTACAGACGCTCTACCGGAGTGCTAGTAGCAGCCATACAGGCGGCGGCGTGTATGGCGAACCTTTTTTCAGCCTTTCCCCCCAGCAGGGGTTGCGGTCCATCAGCCCTACAGGCGCCCTACATCCTCATCATCATCATCACCATCACCATCATCATCCTCATCACCATCACCACCACCACGCACCCATCCATCCATCCATCCATGGGTGGCATACGGACGTGAGCGCCGTCCCCTCATCACATCGCAAGGAAAAGAGAAGGGGACAGCTACCACCACCACCACCGCCACCGCGCAATACTATCGGCGCTATCACCACCACCACCCCGGCACCCCAGCACGGATACCGCATCCGCCGCTTCACGCTGCATGACCATCGCAATGGCTAATAATAATATACATGTGACCTTCCGGAGCGGTGGGTGATATTCTTCGCCCATCGGCAATCGTGCAGAGTGCACCATCACCTCTGTTGGGGGCCCCGGGGGACACACAGCACGGGGGACTGCGCGGACCGTCCGCCCGCCGTCACGTCACGGGGGCGCTTTGTTCCCCCCGGAGCTACATCCGCCTTTGCGGAGGGTCTACTGTGGCGGCGCCGTATTGTACCGTACTGTATCGTGCAACCGCCGCTGGATGGATGGAGGGGGGGCGGCGGCAGTGTAGCAGTAGTGGCGTAGTAGTGACACGCGGCGCGGGACAAGGAACTACTATCGGGGGGGGGAGTCGCGGGACGTATGTACGTATCTATCTGTATGTATGTACGTATGCAGTTTATTCGAGCGGAACAGGACATCGCACTGGAATGTTGCGGTGATGATGATGATGATGAGGAGGAGGAGGAGGAGGAGGTGGCCAGGGCGTGGGAGCCGGGAAGCCAGGAGGCAAGGTCATTATTAACCACCAGGTGACGTGTGAGATGCTGTTAAGAGGTGATGTGGGACGCCAGGTGGCGGTTGTTCTGCAGCAGCAGCAACAGCGGAGCAATGTGGGTGTTCAGTGCAGTGGAGGGCAGAGCAGTGGAGGGCAGGGCAGGGCAGCAGAAGGGGGTGAGGTGGGAGAAGCCGGCGGCCTTCTGACCACCTGGAAGGGGAGGTGGTCAGGAAGGGAAGTGGAGAATCTGACAGAGAGGAGGTGGTTTGGGTTGTGAGGTCGCAGCGGTTGCATGATGGGTGGTCGGGGAGGAGGAGGAGCCGTACTGCCGTTGATGCTGCTGCTGCTGGTGGGGGTGCGGGGTGGGGGAAAGACGAACCACACACGAGTGAAGCTGCTGCCAGGGCAAAAGAGTGTACCAGACGTAGAACTGACCAAAAGGCGTCCTTCAAGTGCGTCGACCTCCGGATGACGTAGTGAAGAAGATGTCGGAAAAACTGCCTACCCCCTGGGGGTGGGGGTTGGGGGGGTTGGGACTGTGGTGGGATGAGGGGCGGGTGGGGTGGGGTTGAGTCTCAGAACAGGCCCTCCGCATTATTACCTATATTGGTCCCACCCAGTGCGCCCACTCTATTTAGACTGTTGGCCGGTCACGACCATTATCATCATCACACCCTCATGACCGTCATCATCACCTCCTGGTGCCCTTCTCTCCTTAGGACCCGGACCCGGTTGCACTCTGGATGGCGCTGAGGCTGACATTGGGGGTGGAAGAGGTTCCCGGCAGGGGGCAGGAACCGGGGGGCTGGGGGGGAGGCGGCAACCTGTATGATGGGCATGTGTGTGTGCACGTGAGAATGTATGTATGTATGTATGTATGTATTTGTTTTTTTGTTAAGGTGAACGCTTGGTGACGGGATTGACGGGAAGTCTCTCGTATGCATGTATGTATGTATGTGTATGGGGGGCAGGCACAGGGCGGACCCGGAAAGGGTCATCGCGGTGCATGCATGTCGTGTGTATCGTGTTTGTGTGCCTGTATGTTTGTGTGCCTGTATGTGTGTGTGCAGCAGGAGTTGGGGCTGTACGACCAACTCATGGTGCAATACTGCTGCCACCAAGTGCCAAAGTGCATCATACCAGGGGGCAGTAGCAGCAATGGCGGCTAGGGGGCAGCAGCTTTAGTAGTTGTGTATTACTTAGGCAAATTAAGAACTGTGTATGCATGCATGTATATATGTATCCATGCAGTGTGTGTGCCAATGAGAAGGGACGTCGCCTACGTCGGTCGCCATCGCAATGTGGTGTCTACTTGACCAGCGTATCGGAAGAGGATGTTGCAGGTTGGCATGTGGGGGATCGTGTTAAGACAGGTTATGGTGTGTTACGGTTCGTGTGTGTGTCGTAAACTGAACTGGGAACACCTTTCCCAGGCTTCGTGAGGTGTTTTCTATATTCCCTACAGCTCAGCTCAGCTCTAATTATATCGCTTACATATAGATTTAGATTTTGCAAAAGGGGCGAGCGAGGGCCCGGAGGAGGGAAAACAACGGTTAACTGACGAGGTTCGGGTTTGACAACGCGGACCAGGATTGTCATGTATGTTTACCACAAAGCTGAACACGAAACGTACGATCTGTTTACAGGAGTACGTACAGGGGGGAACGCGGGTGCAGGCGATGGGGAGGTAAAAGCGACTGCTGCTGCTGCTGCTTTGACAGCGACACCTGCTAGCAGCGACTGCAGCAGCATTAAGAATCAATCCCCCCCATGCAGCTGCAGCAGCACTCATGCTATGGTGTTAGGAACGGGGCGGGGGGCAATCAGCTGCAACTTCGAGTTTGTAACTCGAGTCTTCAAATCTCCTCTCGCATAGATAGCGTGGAGCTGCAGCATTACATGAGTGAAAACATACCTCACGTCGCCCTTAAATAAAAAGTTCTAACACACGCGTACGCATACAGACAAGAGTATGCGTGCACTGCCCGACACAGCGTGGCGTGGTGGTGGTGTTGGGCCCATAAAAAAGGTATGTGTGGGCTGAAAACACGGGAATGAAAATACGGCGGTGTACTTGAAAATACGGCGGTGTATTTTTTAAGTAGTTCGGCATTACGCCATACGTTAAGAACTTAGCCATACGTAGCGCTACTTCCAGACTTCTGTAACAACACTGCACCATATGCGCACCACTTTAGAGTGAAACAAATTTATCGAACATTAACATAAATCGGCAATTTAGGATCCTTTATAGGGAACACAAAGCCCTTAAATCAAAGAATACAATTTTTTGCAAGTTATCATTATTTATTTTTTCGAAAACTACGGCGACGGCGTCCAGCTCGTGGAAGGTGTATGTTGGCAAATGCGACAGCATCATGAAGGCGCCTGCTCCAGCCAAAAAAGGAAAAGCGGACAGCAAGCAAACGGGATAAACATACCAGGCCATTCGAAAGCCAAGTTGATACTTGACTTGCAACAGGTTTTCTTATCTTATTGGCATCGCTACACTTACATAGAAATTTCAATTCGCTGCAGCGCGGCCCCCGTGTTGATGCCCTTGCATCAGCTTGCCTACCACCCTACTATTCCATCCACAGCACTCCACACCAGACCAGACCAGACCACACCACCGCGCTTGGTTGTTTTTGGACGGAGTCCAAATCCCAACGCCCGGCCCATCAGCCACATGCGGGTGAGTCGAGGCCGCTGACGCTGGCTCTGACGCAACGCCGGGCGTCTAAGACAACGCTGCCCCCTAACGTGACGCTGCATCGCGGCTAAGAGACCAACAGCGAGGCGTGAGGATTCTAGTTTGTGGAGTTCCGCTGAACAAATGCCGTCCGTTCAAATAGAAAACAGCGGCCTTCAAATAAATACGCCGAAAAGAAAAAAACTGCAAAAGCCATCATGCAAAGCAAGAGAGAATTGGAGAACTAAACATTCGCAATGGATTTTGCTTGACATGCATGCAGTAGGTGCGCGCGACAAGCAAGGGCTTTCCTCATGTGGCCAATCAACGGCTGAAACGATCGAAAGCGCTCAAGAAGCTTCTCACATAAAGAGGCGAGCTGGTCAACCAATGTTGGGTATATTTTGCCAAAAGGTATTATGGGCCCATACAAACCACCTCCTGCTCCCTACACTGGATGGAAAAAGGGAAACTTTGGCTGCTGCCATCTTGTCACGCAACACATGGGACCTCCACTGTCAGGTTTGCGAGCTCGGAGCGCAGCTCTCGGCACATGAAGGTCGAAAAATGATTTGCACATGCCGTACATTCAGCTGTACTACAGCAGTACAATTAGAGATGCCACCAACATACATACATACATACCATCCTTCACAAACAGCTCTGAGCATCCATTTAGTCTCTTTGATGCACAACACAGCACAGTATTTTGTGCCAGTTAGCCAACAGACCGCAAAGCAGCGCTGCCCATCCTCCAGTTCCTGATATAGAAAAGAGATGCGCCGTTATGCCAAATCGTACACCGTTCTCCCGTACTTCCTAAGAACATGCTTTACAAACGGTCGGCCAACCAAATTCGTCACTAGGCCCAAACCCTAACACCCTAAACCTGTCCCCTTTTCGTCCCCTTTTCAACCCTCAGGTCTGCGTTTCCCTATTCGCCGTTAGAAAGTTTATTACATTGTTTTTCCAGCGAGCAGCAATAATGATCAACTTTAATAATTGATACTGATGACATAAAGATGACATGAAGTGATAATGCAGCTCTAATAACAACAACAACATCCTAGATTTCCTATCCCTAGGGATTCGTAAGCCAGGTGGGAGATGAATCCAGAATCCAGGATCCAGAGGCCTCTGGGAATTCTGGATTCATCTCGTCTTGGCTTACGAAGGGCCGCCAAAGCGAAGGCGGCGGCGACGGCGGCGGCATTCGCGAACCGAGAGACCACCCCCCTGAGCGGCACCACCTACCACTACTGGCTGTACCTATCCACCATCTAGCTGTATTGCAGCATGTACCCACCATCGCCCACCGCACATCGCCAGCGCGATGACTCCCTCGCGCCGCCGTTCCTCCGGTGGGTTGTCATATCTACATACCTACTCTGCATTGGCAGTCACATGTCACCCCCCCCACCCCACCCCCTTTATGTACTCACACACCACCACTATCACCACAACCACCATCACATCTGGAGCAACCCTTACGCCGTCCGAGACTTACATACATGCGTACAGACGCACACATGCACACACGCACAGGCATACATACGTGCGTTCCCTTTTCCTTTACTCCTCCATCCAACATACACACATACGTACATTCATGCATACATATATACATGATGTGTGGGACAGGGGGGTATATCTTCACCCTGCGGCCGTTACCCTGCGAAACCCTGCCTTCCCCGGTATTTCGGGGCACCCTCATCCAGTCACCCTAGCCAACTTCTCAGTGGATCCCTCAGGTTCAGCACCCACCACCGGCATCCAACGGAATCTGCCGGATCGACAGCTGCTCAACTCCATTTTCCTGGTCAGACAAACAGACAAACAGACACAGGCATACCTTCACCACTCCCCCTTCACCACTCCGCCACAGGGCTCACGGCCGCCGCGGTAACGCCAACCGCCTGGCGCCCATGCCGCCAATGTACGGCAGGCTGTTGTTGTAGTACAAGGACATGGTGTCGTTCACAAGGCCCAGCAGCGCACCGGGGTCGACGTGCTGTACGGGTCGCGTGGCATTGAATGAGCCGACTTTGTCGTACATTTGGAAGGTCTGCAGCCCTGTCGTAATTGCTGCGTTCAGCCCCGAGCTGAAGTTGCCCCAGGTGGCCGGGTCGGAGAGGGTCGCGTAGTTGGTTCGGTTCAGCAGGAGGTCGACCCTGAATTTGAGTAATTTGAGTAATTTGAGGAATTTGAGGAATTTGAGGAATTTGAGGAATTTGAGTAGTGTTGGAAAGTGGAAACACTCGCATGCACCAGGTGGTGGGAGACGGTGATAGCAGTAATAAGGGGGGGGGTCCGAGGGCGCTTTGGTGTGCCCCTCTAACATTTGGCGTGGGGGGAAGAGGGCCATCGGACCATCAGTCGGGGTGGTGGGGGGAAGTGGGGAGCGGGAAGCGGGGAGCGGGCGGACCCGTAGGAAAATTGGGGGGGAGGGGCAGTAGTGTTGTCGTTGCTGTTGTGTACATCTTGAGTCTATATCGGAAAATATACAAAATTATATTTTATAATATATTTAATTATATATACACAATATACATACATAAATAGTATTTTTTCATATAACATCATATAAAAAATATATTTGTATTTTACATATTGAAAATTTTATATAATTTCACCTTGTCGCCAGCTCCAGCAGGGCGTCCTCGTACCGCTGCAGGTCCCGGCTCTGCTGGATGCAGGGCGCGTACGCCCCGGCCGCGAACAGCGCGGCGGACATCAGACCCGTGAGCAGCAGCGTCACCACCCACCCCGCGAAGAACTGCATCGACAGCCGCCAGTTGAGGCCGGAGGAGCCCTCCATAAGGCCCATACCAGCGGTTGCACCCACCTGACCGCATTTGACGACACACAAGCGGTAAAATTCAACTTTTAACGGTTTTTTTAAAACGATAATTATATTTTTTTTGCATCTTGGCTATCCGGGCTGGGGCAATGTTTTTTTTTCCTTTTCCAGTTTATTTTACGTTGCAGATTTGTTTTCATGTCTCGGGATTTTGTCCTGCTGGCGAGTTCTGTGCCCACGTGTTCTGTCACAATGTGGTGGTAAATGTACGGCAAACTGCAAACAGATGTTTTATACACGCTGGTATATGCATGTATATCTTTGGTCTTCAGTGGAGTTTGTGGCCTTGTAAACCCAAAACTCAAACCCAAAGCGGTTCGGGCCAGAGTCGGCACACGCTAAAACACTGTCTGTCTGTCTGTCTGTCTGTCTGTCTGTGTATGCGTACCTGACAGTGCGTAGTGGATATTGGCAGGCCGTACTTGGAGGCAAGCGCCACCACCAGGGCGGTGGACAGCTCGATACAGAAGCCCCGGGAGGGCGTGATGGCGGATAGTCGTACACCGATGGCGCGAATGATGTTGTAGCCTGAGGCAAATAAATACATACATACACATACGTAGGACGTGATAAAATCAACTTGCGAGCTGACCAGGAACTAAGTTGATGCGCCGTTGATCCGCTAGATTTGGTTGGATGCTGGTGGTGAGATGCTGAACCCAACGAATACATTCTGAAGTCGGATGGGGTGACGGATTAGGGTGCACCTCTCGCAGGGGAGAGCAGGGACTGCCTCGGGAAAGGGGCCGCTGGCGAAGTTAACCACCCTGTAACAACATACATATATACATATATACATACATACCCCTTTGAGCCCACACGATGGGGGTTTGAAGGTGCGGAAGTGTTGTTAAGCAGCCCCTCGCACAAATGTGTCCGGTCGTACTTCGCGAATAAACAGTTCGTACATCGTCCCAAAAAAGTCAGGAGCGAATTTTGCCGCGCAGATGCGCGCGTGCGATTCGCAAAATGCGCCTGTACAAGTGTATATAAATGTTCTTGGCGGAAAAGGACCAGGTGCGCCAGCGCGTTGCGCAGGTGGGCATGTTGGCCATAGCCGCACGCGGCATGCAGGCTGGACTATTGCGTGGATGCTTTTGCAGTAACTAAAAGCACCGAAAGCCAACGTCGTAGCTTGCAACTCTGGGCTCGTGAAACTGCCGCGGAAGATGAAGCGCTGGCGAAGAGGCAGTTGTATGCAGCACCTTGTTCAGAGTAAAGTCAAATTACAAAGTTGCGCAAAGTATAACATACATAAACTTAATTAAACATAAGAACAGATAAGACGTTTAGAGCCTTGTCGGTGACATGGACGCCGCTGTTGGCTTGGAACAGCTATTTGCTGTGCATAGGGACATGCCCGCGTTAGCCGTGTTGCAACAGCTCAGGATGGATTTCAGCCAGCAACAGCCTCAAGAGCTGCTGCACAACCACCGGGAATGTCTTCAGTTGGGCACGTGTAGTTTTGGTCGGCGGGGTCGAGCAACGTACGCAATGCGCACAGAAACCAAGGTGCAGCGTTCTGTAACATCGCCAACATATCCGGTACGCGGTGGCAGGCTTGCCGAGCACGAAATGAAGGGGGGGTCGCATCTCACCATTCAACTAAGCATGCATGTGCTCGGTTGAATGCTCGGTAGCGTGCGAGTTTACCCCTATCAGGATGTTTGTTTGCATATCCCTCCAAGCGAGAGGGCTTGCACCTATGCTGATGTTCGTTCCAAGAAGTGAACTGAGGACTGATGCTACGGTGAAAGATTTGCACGTAAATTCGCCCGTGCAATAAAACGCCCTGTAACTCGCTTACGCTAATCTCACATTCCAATATGCCACTGCACTTTCCTCTCCAGCCTGGCCACATTCTCTTCCTCGCAAACGTACTTGGGCACCTTACAATCCAACACCATACGTGCTTTGGAAACGCGGGCAGCTGCTTCACAAGGACCCCCCTATTTTTCCTTAATGGTGCAGTTTGTGTGTTACTTCGCGGCATGGCGGAGAGCACGCGTTCTTGCCGTACATCTCCTTACCGTACGTCGCCAGACCCATGACGATGCCAGCGCCCCCCAGCACCAGGATCCAGATGGGCAACGCCGCCATGTAGTCGATCTGCGCAGTAAGGTTTAGGGTTTTGGGGTTTTTAAAACCAGCAATCAACGCTCACCCCTCCGGCCCTCTCCCCTTCCCCCCCCTCCCCCCTTCCCCCCCCCTCCCTCCACCCTTCCCTCCACCCTCCACCCTCCACCCTCACCCGTCTAAAGCGATATATGAACCAGATGGCGGTGAAGGGACCCACGGAATTGGCCACGTCGTTAGCTCCATGACTGAAGGAATCGCAAATAGCCGTGAGCACCTTTTTGGTGGTTAGAGGGGAGGGGAGGGGCGTGGGGGAGGAGGGAGGTGTAACGAGTGCCCCAATACACACACACCATCAGAGGCCCAACAGCCTCCTAAGAGCCGCACAAGTTAGACAAGGGACAAATACAAGGTCGAGTACAACGCAATAAGTTCTAATAATATGCACAAGAGCAATATACACAAAAGAAACAATAAGACATGAATATGATGTACGGGATGTACGGGATGTACGGGAGGATGCTGACGCGACTGTGACCATCCGGGAGGCTGCAAACAGGAAGACAGACAGATAGACAGACAGATAGATAGACAGATAGATAGACAGATAGATAGACAGATAGATAGACAGCAGACAAGTGACCTCCGCCATGCCGACTACCTCTCCTCCTCAGGTCTCTCGCACCTGCAGGTACTTGAACGCGTCTTCCGTGGCGGGGTCGAACACCTCGGCGAGGGAGTGAACACGTTGTGCAGCTGGGTCCTCAAATATGGCATCGTGTACGTTGACTTGAGTGCCATGAAGTACGATTGCCTGTGTACGGAGATGTACGGAATGTCATTGTGCGAGTTGTACGGCTCACCTAACAGCCCCACCGACTCTGCCCTCTAAAACTCTTAAAAAACTCTAAAATCCTCAACAACCTCTCACCTTAAGCTGGTCGAATGTGTTTTGCCACTGAACATTCCCCTCGCCGTGCGTTTCCCCGTCTCTATTGCCCGGTGGTGCTGCCGTACCGTCCTTGTCGTACGCATCTGCCGTGTTGTGCGCCACAGGCACAAGTGATAATCTGCGGCTACCTTCCCCTAATTCCATTGCCTCCCCAATGGGACCGGCTGGCGATCGCGACGAAGATGCATCACCGCCGTACAATGCCGTACCGCTGCCGTACATAGTGCCAAGTCCATCGGCTTGAACCTGTATCTGTTGTCCGATGCCGTACTGGCCTCCTGCCGTTGCTGCCGTACATTGGCCCGTCGGGTCATATGGCAGCCGACATTTCTGCTGCTGATGCTGCTGTTGCTGCATCTGTAGCAGCAGTAGTTGTTGTTGTTGTTGATGGTGTTGTTGTAGCATCTGCTGCTGCTGTAGCAGCCCTGGGTGCACTTGTACCTGTTGGTACGGCACTGCAAGCGCCCACGACTGGGACGAATGCCGTACCATTCCGATTTGATTCTGGGCTTGAAACGATACTTGTTGCTGCTGCTGCTGCTGCCGCCACTGTAACTGCTGCTGCTGCTGCTGCCATTGCTGTTGTTGCAGCAACTGTAGCTGTTGCTGCTGCTGCTGCTGCTGACCTCCGTACAATACCATCTGATCATCATCGCCGTCGGGAGCTGGCGGCGGCACCGGCCCCGCTACAGGGCTGCTGGCGGGCTCATGTTGTCGCTGCAGCGTTGGCGGCGGCGGCGGCGGAGGTACTCCGCCCGTACGACAATAAGCATTTATCTTGTCATACTCCGCCGAGCAGTCATTGACCTCGGGGCCGCTGAGGCCAGCCGGCAGCGGCGGCGCCTCCGCCTCCGCCGCCGTCGCCTCCGCCACGGCGACGCTGCCGCCGACGCCATTGTCGATGACGCTGTAGCTGACTGCCATCCGTGGCGGCGGCGGCGGCGGTACGATTGGCAGCAGCGGCGCCGGCGACCCATCTTGAGTCGCTACAACCATTCGCTGCTGCTGCTGCTGCTGCTGCTGCTGACGAGGCGGCGGCGGCAGCGGCGGCTGCGGCGCTCTATATTCCACGAAAGGGCTGGTGAAGCCCGGAACCTGAGCCGCCGTCACCTGGGCTACCACAACCGCCGCCGCCGCCGCCGCCGTGGCACTGCTGCCGCCACTGCCGCCGGTTCCTCCGCTGACGTTGGCCCCCATTAGCTCTACACCGCCGCCGCCGCCGCCGCTTCCACTGCCACTGCCCCCGCTGACATACCCGCCGGGTGGGGGCCCTATGCTGCGGATGCTATGGCTATGAGTGGCGGGATGGCTGGCGCCGCTGGCGCGGCCGCCGCCGCCGGCAGCGCGACTGCAGCGCTCGGCGGAGTTTTGCACGTGGTTCTCAATTTCATTGAGCTGCTGCCGCCGCCTGCCGCCGTCGGCGCATCATCATCATCATCATCATCATCATCATCATCATCATCATCATCATCGGTATCAATGTCGCGGTACAAAAGGGTTATTATATGAGGACGGGAGGGAGGGGGGAGGAGGGAATAAAGGAAGGCATTATGGTGTGAAACGGAAGCGAAACGGGATGGAAATCACATACATACATACACAGTGTAACCTAAGTAATACATACATACATACATACATACATACATACATACATACATACATACATACATACATACATACATACATACATACATACATACATACATACATACATACATACATACATACATACATACCCAAAGCATGCGAAGTGGTTAACTTACCCCTCCCCCTCCCGCTTCCCCCACAACCAACCCTCACCTTGCCTCCACATCACGATACACGGACTGCCGTACAAGCGGCATTCCAACGAACACCGTTAGTACGGTACAACCGCCAGCGATGCAAGCACTAACCCAGGCAGACTTGTTGGAACTCCAAGTAATGCGCGTATCAGCGCCCTGCATGAAGAAAACCGTTTCGTTACCGTTATCTTCCGTTAATTAATGTACGAATGCACTTCCGTACGAATGGCCACAGTTTACATGACAAACAGCGTATGGCAACGATTGCCAATCGTACCTTGTACAGCACGAAGTACGAATTTATGAAGACCGTTATGAGAACGAGCAACGGAAGCGCCTGATGTCGGTTGGATAGCGGGGGGTTACATATTGGGCGGGGGGGGATTGGGGGGGAAGGGGGGGGGGAGAAAGAGAAGTAAGCTTTGCAAAAAATCCCGTACAAACAGACAAACATACATGAGTCTCACTTACATCTATCTGTATGCTCGGTTCCGGGTTTATGACTTTATTCAGTTAATGTCAGTTGGCGGTTCGTTGGCCACTCAAACCACTCCCGTCCTACTACCGGTCTCCTCCTCACCGTACACCACCATACTCATGCACGACCCCCCTACCTCCCCCCCACCCCCCGCACTCACCCAAAACGCGAGCTCCAAGCTAGCTTCCCTCCTCAGAATGGCGGTTCGTACGATGAAGAACAACAGCGCCGCAGCCAGCCCGGAGAGCAGCGGCGAAATAAACCACGACACGACGATAGGCACCTGGGCAGGAAAATATACCGAAATGTAAGCAGCCAACACCGAAACTATGATAATAATAATAATAATAATAATAATCTCCAGATAGTCGACCGCTGTGTCGTACAGGAGAGGGCTGCTAGGGAAGACAACAGGTCATACAGCGGCAGCAGCATGAGGAGTACGGAGTACGATGTACGAGTACGAATACGGGGAGGGGGATGAGCGAGGGAGAGGGGGGGGATCTAACGAGCCAACCGTAGTCAACAGCGGACGTCATCGTAGTTTCTTCACAATATTATACTATATTGGCCCACACATAAGTAAATATAAAACCCTAAAACCTCCTTAAAACTCACCATGCCCCTCATGTACGGAAATTCCTCCTGAGGCTGTAGCCAGATCACTGCCTTCGGTCCTCCGTAAACGAATGCGAAACCAAGTACGGCACCCGCTGCGGTTCGGGTGTTGGCGCCCGGGAAGCGGCAGGCGGCGGCGGCGGCGCGGGGAGAGGGACTTACAGTTGGAAAGGAATAACAGTGCCCCTGATACGGGATCGGTTGGGAGTTGGACGTTAGGAATTGTCATTTGCAGTACATGTTGGTTGGCGATTTCAGATCTTCACAAGCTAACCACAATGCTCCTGAAGGTGGATAGCAACTATATATGCTATCGGTGACGATGGTGGGTTGATTTGGGCGAATACATTATCTGATTATTTTATAATTAGCACAACGGCGCCGTTTGAGAGGTCCTCAAGGGAAAGATGCCGACTCTCAGATCGGAGCTCATAAAACAGGAACGCACATGTCGTACAGGAACGCACATGTCGAACAGGAACGCACATGTCGTACATACGTCGTACAGACCTATAGAATGTGTCGTAGATACGGGTAGCTCCAGATAGGTGGCGATGATGAGCCAGGTCCCGGAAGAAACCATCGCGCACAACATGCCGTACATGTACATCTCCGGATGCCGTTCAAACGACGTCTGCATGTATACGACCGACAGTACGACAATTACACAATTACCATTCGCGGTGGCGAATTATACATTGGACGCTAAGCCACGTAGATTGCAGGTGCACGGGCATTTGCATTTGTCGCAGGTCAGGACGCGTGCAGACATACGTATGAATGCGCATTTGAACAAATAATGGCCAAGCATAATTCAATCGCGTACGACAAAATTAGTTAATTTAGGAAATGCGGACCATAGGGCGTTAGGGTGCATTGGCAGGTCTAACGAACAGACAAGCAGACAGGCGGGTTAGTTAGTTAGTTAGTCTGCTGGTACTTCGACCCCTGCTCTGCCCATACAGGTCTATCAATACCCCTCACCGACTCTTTTTCCCCCCCTCCCAAAAAAACACATCATTTTCGAATCCAAACCAAAATCAAATCCGTGTTATAACCCCCTCCTCCTCCCCCTCCTCCTCCTCGTCTGCCCTTCCATTTCCATTTCCCCCCTCCTCCCCCGGGGACGTTGGTTTCCCCCCCCCGCCTTAACCAGTCCTTCCTTGGCATCAGCTTCATTCGCTCGTGGTTCGTCTGTTCCCCCCTCCCTCCTTAACCCACCGGCTAGACCTCCTTAACCCACCAGGCTAGCGATTCCCGACGCCACTGTCCGGGTCACCTCGCCCCCCAGCAGCACACTGCCCCCGAACTCGCACACCGCGGCGATCAGCAGCGCCTGCCGCATGGACAGCGTGCGAGCGGCGACACTGCTGCCGAAAGCGTTGGCCACATCGTTGGCGCCTAACCGTCGTACAACCGTCGTACAACCAACCAGTCGCAGTCGCACCCAACCAGCCGCCGCAATCGTCACAACCAAAGGCGGGGGGACGGTAAAGAAGCGCAACAGGAGACCACAGGGCCGGGTTCTTTCAGGTATGTTTTTAGGTTTTAGGGTTCAGGGGAGGAGTGGCGGAGGGGAGTGGTGGGGCAGTTGGACAACACGGTTGAGATGTACGGGAGCATGTCGTACAGGAGATATTTATTTAGTAAGGTATTACCCTGCTGAATGGCAACCAAGCGTGAGGAGGCGATAGGAAACACGGGACTGTCCAAAAATCATATTTTTGACAGATCCTCCGTACCCACTGTGAGTCGTACAGCTGTTCTGCCGTACACTGTACATCAGCATCGTTTGATGCTTTCGATGTTGCGACTTGCAGTAGCCCCTTGCAGCAACCGCAGTTCGCGGTAGTATAGATCCTAGAACGCCGGCGAATAAATATATCTATATTTTTAAGTATCGGCATTTTTTGTCGCAGCCAAAGCACTGTTCGTCGGGCCCCCCCCCCCAATCCGCGCTGCCCGCCGCGAAGTGCTACACCACCTCAGGTTTATAGCCAACTATCACTTGGAGCCAGATTGTACGAGATGTCGTGCTTCACGTGTGCTGCCGTACGCTGCTCTGGCCACGACGGCCTTTCGCAAGCCCCTCGCAGGAGCCATTCCGTGAATAAAAAGCTCACCTATGCCGTATGCCTGTGACGAGCGTTTGGGGTACAAAAGGGGCGATGGTAAGAGCTTAGCGGCTACCAGTTGACTGACTAACTGTCGGCCATATCGAGCCCACTTACAGTGAAGAAGGCTGCCAGACAGCCTACCACCACTATCCATGCGTAGTCAGTCCAGAGAGTCATTTAGGCCACACAGCCGCGCGGCTTTGCGGCCTTGCGGGGGGGTTTCTCCGATTGCGCGACTACAACTGTGACGAGGGCTGTTCAGTAGAAACAAGAGATTGGGATGGCGAGACAGTAGGTATCAGAGTAAGATAAATAGGAGTGAGGCAGGTTTTAGCGCAGATATGCCCGGAGGCCATAAACAGGCTGCACATCCTAACATCCTAACGACTTAGTTCAGATACTTTGTGATGCTCGCAAGGGGGAACTTTGAGTCCCTTTTGTTAAAAATGACGTGCTTTGTAAGATCGATTAGAAGTTAACTCAGGGATATGATGAGGTAGAATCTTAGGTTCCCGGAGTACGGCGCGATACCTACGTCCTAACCGGCGTAGAAGCTCTAACCCTTGATATTCCTTCCGCTTCCAATCTATGTAACACCACTTTGATTATACAGTCACAGTGCTCATGCAGGCTCAGCTTTTGTTTGTCACCTGCTTGGCTAGGTCGGTGAAAATCACGACAAAAGCTTGTGCTGCAGGCCAGCAGTGTCTCTGCAGAGGTCGGCTTGTGATCAAGCGGATAGATTTTATATGTGTGTGGAGTTCTTAAGCTTTTTATTTCATTTATGCGAGTTAACATCATCCACAGCGTTTCCGTAGGCGCATACAGTGTTGTGATGCACCTGCGTGATATGCGCGAATGGAGGAGCAACCCAATTTAGCTCAAGCTTTTACCCTTTCTTTGTTAAAACCCTTTTACTTTGCTGCCGCGAGCGGACACGGGACGCACGGCCGTTAGTAGGCAGGTTGGCAGTTGAACCCGCTGTCGAACTGCGAAGAGCGAATGGTACCCTGGCAGCACATAGAGGACTTTAACGTGAGGAAATTCAATGGAGGATGTTACATTATCGGCTCTACTGGCTCTGAAAAGGCCGAGCGCCTCTTAGTCGTCTTTCATTTGCAACAATAATACACGTGGACCAGCGTTTTTGGCAAAGCTCTCTTGTGTCTACGTATTACTGATCTCAATCTTTTCTAGGCAATTGCATGGTGGCAGGAGTTGTCGTTGCACTTGCACAATGCTTCCAGAAGGATATCTTGCACCCGACGCCACGAGGCTTGGGCTCTAGTAGTTCCTGAACTGCCACATGGTCCGTAGCCTGGTGGAGCTGTAGCGATGGACGTGCTCGGGCTGGGTGTTGCCATCATCTGCTTTTGCGCTTGCTTTGCGGTGGGCTGGTGGTTCCTGGATCGGAGTCTCTATAACCATCTGGAGGAGAGGGACTATCATGTCCAGGTGTGCGGAGTTTCCGATAATATATTTTTGAAAATAATTGCTAATCCCCGAAGCAACTTTGCACAGTCAAACTAACACCCTGAATCGCGCCATCGTTTAGGCTCTGTGGTCAGTCGTGTTCGCCATATCATGCAACTTCATCAGCCTGGTGCTTTTCGAGATTGTGAGCATCATGGACCCCGGGTGCGTAAGCATCTTGCCACATGGCTGCCTAGACGGCCCAGTTTCCAAGTTGCACGCGAGTCAGCCTTACTTTGGGCTTTGGGCTTTGGGCACACCTCGCATAACCTACACAACGCCCCACCCCCCAAAAGTGCAAAGTCTTTCCCTAAACACACGCCCACCCCCGAAGGTGCCGGTGCAACACGCGCACGCACATAAAGCACACGGTATTACAATATCCCCCCAGCTCAACAACCCCGCGCTCATGGTCCACTTCATAATCCATCGCCAGACAGCACACACTTCCCCCTCGCGCAAAACCCCGTGTACGGCGGCCCCCATCGCGTCAACTTTTCGCTGCGC